ATGGAGAAATGGGACAGATGGATGGATGGAGAAACTGGATGGATGGAGAAATGGGACGAATGGATGGATGGATGGAGAAATGGGACGAATGGATGGGTGGAGAAATGGGATGGATGGATGGAGATACACCCGTGTAGGGAAGCCTCCCCAAACTCCACCAAGAGACCCCTTCATTTCATCCCTGGGGAGGCCCAAACCCTGCCCCCCCAGGAGGCAAGAGCGAGGCTCCAAGCCGGCTCCAGGCCCACCTGCCCACTCACCCTTTCATCCCCTCGGGTTGACTCGTTGTCCAGCAGGGGCTCTCCGGGGGCCTGGATGGTGACCGACTTGTCCCCACGGCTGCCATCTCGACTTTTGGAGCGATGCCGCTCTCGGCGGTCTCTGTGGGGCAAGAGAGGGGGTCCTGAGAGTTAGGGGGATCTGGCTCAGGTCACAAGCATTGCAACACCCACCTTCTCCCTAACCAGCTGCTCCGTGGGGACGGGAAGGGGTAGGTCCCCCCCCTCCTGCTGATGGTTGTGGAAGAAAGACAAAATTAAGGATCCCGCACACAGACAGGCCTCGATGTGCAACTTTGTTAGTGACTGTTCTAAGTTACAACATCGCTGAAGAACGATGTTGTGTAATTAAGACAAAAAATGGACAAAAAATACGCTCGTGGCTAGAGGAAATGATACAACAACATATTGACTTAAAAACAGAAATATTCCTGTTGGGGATCTTACCTGAAGCTTACAGTAAAGAAAATGTATGCTTAATTATTCAGGCGATAACTGCGGTGAGAATTGTATTTACTCAAAATTGGAAAAAGGAGCGGACTCCTACTGAAAAGAATGCGATTAGGAAAGTATTAGAATGTGCAGAAATGAATAGATTAACACTTGCAATTAAAGAGAGAGAGAGCAAACTGAATATTATAAGGTATGGGAACTATTCTATCAATGGTTAGAGAGAAAATATGAGAGCCAGATATAATTAATGGATTAGTTAAGAAGGACAATAGATATTTTTCACTGATAGACATAAATAAGCTAAGATGAAAGATAAAGAGATGTGACATTAAGTACAATAAGTATAATAAGATAAGTCTAGAGAAATAAGACTATTGTAATGAATATAATTGTAAACATCAACTGAATTGCACAAAATATTTATAACCAGAAAAGATGCCGTCAAGTGGAAGAAGATATGCTTGTAATAAAAATAAAATAAAAAATTATGAGGCTGGGGGAGAAGAATGATGTTGTAACTTTGAACTTTTCACAGATAACGACTTTTGCAACCTCCCCACAGTCATATGATCCAAATTCGGTCACTTGGCAATGGAGCAGCCTTGTGTTCCCACACAGCCTGGATAAATTGCTTTGGGGTGGACATTTCTCTGCAGACCACCAAATTTTTCTCTCAGACCACCAACGGTCCTTGGCCCACTGGTTAGCGACCACTGCACTAAACCTCAGGGGTCACCAAAATTTAGAGCCATGGAACTGGCAGTCAGTCGGTCAAGCTTCACACACCAGATCCAGCCATAAATCAGCTTTCTGAAGGCCCCAAATATAATGCCACTTGACTGGAATCATTATTGCAACAGACAAGAAGAACGCAGCCTCCAGTGCCACCACCAGTTGTCCAGTGCAGCATAAAGAACTCACAAACCTGTATGCTCTGCAGCCTCGTTTCTCAAATCTCAGCAACTTTTTAAGATGTTAACAACTTAAAATATGGACCGGCAGGCAGGGGAATTCTGGGGATTGGAATTATTTTAAAGTTGTGGAGATTGCAAAGCACGCTTCTAAAGGTTCAATCTTGGACCTTTTACTCCCCCAAATTAACTGACCCTAGGAGGGTCTCCTGGTGACCTGAGGGAAATGGGAAAATTAAGTTATGCTGTCGCTTTGCAGAAAGCTCCCAAATCCAGGCTGCAGCGTTCCAGTCCATCACTAGGTGGCAGCACAGACTTCCAGTTCTCTGGCATCCCAAATTTCGAACCCGGATACCTGGGACGCGGCTTGCCTTCCTAGAGTTAGCCAACCATTTACCCATACAAGAAAATATTTGCGGCTCAGGGTTGAAAGAGGAAGTCTTGGGTGCTCCCTGAGGTTGGCGGTTTTCTTGCAGACGTTTCATCACGACCCAACCAGGTAACATCACTTGGCTAGCCCTGATGACGGGTCATGAAATGTCCGCAAGGAAACCACCAAGCACAGAGATCGCAAAGGAGCAAACAACATTTCACTGAATAAAAGAATACCAGCGTCGGGAGGGGTCTTGGGGGTCTCCAGCAGGAGCCCCTATACTCTCCTGGACAAAGGGCTGTCCACTCTTTCCTGGAAAACCTCTCCAGTGACGGAGCACCCACAATTGAGAGAAAAGCTGGTCTCTCTCTCTCTCTCTCTCTCTCTCTCTCTCTCTCTCCATCCACCCACTCACCCACCCACCCACCCATCTATCTACCTACCTATCTCAGTGTATCATTCATCTAATAGAATCACAGTGCAGAAGGGACCTTAGAGGTCTTCTAGTCCAGCCCCCTGCTCAAGCAGAAGACCCGATACCATTTCAGACATGGGCCAGGTCCAGTCTCTTCTTTAAAATCTCCAGTGATAGAACACCCACAACTTCTGAAGGCAACTGTTCAACTGGGAATAGAATAGAATAGAATAGAATAGAATAGAATAGAATAGAATAGA